TTGCAATACTTTCTGTCCCTGGGAATATGTAAGGTGGTTGAACAACCTTCAAATTCCACCCATCTTTGCAATACTTTCTGTCCCTGGGAATATGTAAGGTGGTTGAACAACCTTCAAATTCCACCCATCTTTGCAATACTTTCTGTCCCTGGGAATATATAAGGTGGTTGAACAACCTTCAAATTCCACCCACCTTTGCAATACTTTGACAAAAAGCAAGAAGTTTTTTAAACAGAACCTTACTGAATATCCACTTGTATTGGACAAAGAGTATTCCTTGCTTGAGGTGAATGCAGTTTCTCACGGAGTGCTTCTTCCACTAGGTTCCCCTTAGTGGGGGAAACACTCCATGTATTTTCTGTTTCTATAATCTTGGAAAGGAGCTTTTTTGCCTGTAAAAGTTTAGACTCCAGTCTGCTCCTAGTTTTAATGTATTTTATCATTGGGAAGGTTGTTTTTGATTATTCAGTAAAAATTCTGTTCCACTTGATTAAAAAGAAAAAATGTTTTATTTCTTCAAAAGAAAATTTTATAAAACTTGCAAAGTTTTACAAACAACCAAGCCTAAAATAAAACTTAACAGTCAGTTACTTGTTACATTTCCTCTTTCTACAAACATAACACCAAACTAACTCACTGTTTGTTTAACTGACTGATCTAAGTTAAATTATTAGGGACATAGCCTACAAGAGTCTTCAAAGATTTCAGTTTTTGTTTTGTAGAAAATGTTTATTATGGTTTTAACTGTAAACTTTTCCCATTATCTTTGACTTAATGATTATTTAAATGTAGTTAATAAAAATAGTGTAGAAAAAATGACATGTTATATAAAATTAAAGTAGGTACAACATTCACATGGATGTTTTTTTTTTTTTACAAAATAGGAAAATTACAGAAAAACTAATGGAAAGCAGTATCCAGTTTACGGTCTTTCACCATAATTTTCTTGGTTTGGATGAATTCTTGGGTCACGTGTCCATACCTTTATCTAATTGTGACATCCATGAAGGACCCACCAACAGGTGAGAAGAATGACTGTTTAAATAATACTTTTATTAAACTGTTGCTCGTTGATGAGTAAACATCTTAAAGCAGATAAAAGTGATTGGATTTTGAAATGTTGTTTTGTGGGGATAAATTCATGCCAGAAAAGTTTCCTCATAATTAAAATAGTTTAAGATAGTACTATAAAACTACCTTTCATCAACACTATAAATATTAATATGTAATATTAGGTGTGAATAGATATTTAAAAACATATATATATTATGACTATACCAATAAAAGATCATGTATCATTACTGTAATAGCTCCATTTAAGTGACCTCTATGGTATAATCTTAGCCTCAAGTGAGGATTAATATAAGTTTTAGGCTACATACATTTCATTCACATAGGTGTTAATTAAGTGCAAAATTCCTACACTAAAGTCTCTTTTTTAAATATTCCTTAATATACTTGAATAGAAATATCATTCTAATTGTAAAAAACACAAAACCTGGTAGTTTTCAACTGTGATATAAATACTCCTATGGTTAAACAGCTTGCTGTGTCGTAGCTGCCCCTACGGCTAAACAGCTTGCTGTGTCGTAGCTGCCCCTACGGTTAAACAGCTTGCTGTGTCGTAGCTGCCCCTACGGCTAAACAGCTTGCTGTGTCGTAGCTGCCCCCTACGGTTAAACAGCTTGCTGTGTCGTAGCTGCCCCAAGGGTAAACAGCTTGCTGTGTTGTAGCTGCCCCAACAGTTAAACAGCTTTCTGTGTCGTAAGAGTTTTGAAATTTGAGCATTATATTAGGGGATCATATTACTAAAGAAATGCAATATTAATTTAATTTTAAAGAAAATAATTGGATACATTTTTCAGAAATGTTTTCACAATATCAAACACTACTAGATAATTATTCCCTGTTAAGTTGTGCATAAGTAACAAACACTGGAAAATCTTGCTCTTGGTAGATGTAATATAAACTGATAGCAGTTTATTTAAAGATAAGAAGTTGATAGTTAGGCTTCTGTTACCCACGTAGGAGAGCATTGCTTTGTGAGCTTACAAATAATGAAATATTGTACTCCAGTCTTCTCAGATCGATTCTTGAACAATGCTTATCATTGTACAAAGTTTTGTAAGGAATGGGAAAACAACACATTTACTTTTTAGTCAGTTTTTCAGTAAATAATAGCAAGTAATTATCAATTCATTTTGTCAAATAGTGTTCATATTCTAAGGGCCAGA